TATATATGTGTGTGTGTGTGTGTGTGTGTGTGTGTGTGTGTGTGTGTGTGTGTGTGTGTGTGTGTAGTAGTATGTATATAGTAGTATTATAGTGTAGTGTGTGTGTGTGTGTGTGTGTGTGTGTGTGTGTGTGTGTGTGTGTGTGTGTGTGTGTGTGTGTGTGTGTGTGTAGTGTGTGTGTGTGTGTGTGTGTTGTGTGTGTGTGTGTGTGTGTGTGTTTGTGTGTGTGTGTGCACATACGAATATATATATGTCTATATAATGAGAGAGCGACAGACCTACAAAACGACAGCACATCTCACTCAATCGAGCACACACACAAAACCCCCCCTGAATCTACCTACCCAAACGACCACACAATATAAATAAACCACGTACACTTCATCCTCTTTCTGTCGTTGATATTGCAGTCGTGCTTCATTCTCCTCGTCCGCTAACAATTCATCAGGCACTCCAATGAATCCATCCTCGTCGCGTGAATCGCTATCACTCAGCGACACAGAGCTTTCGACCCGCGATCGTTTCCTACTCATGCTATCTGCCTCTCCAATCTGTACGCCCACCGCCAGATCAGACTGCTGTGTCTTGTACTGATTCTTATCCTTAGTATCCAGCGATCTTTGGTAGGTATTCCGCTCGAGGGTGTAGCGGGACCCGTTTCGACCGGGGTGATTGTACCGCTCTTGCACTTGCCTGCTATTGTATGTGGTACTTGAAGTAGGCCCCTCGCTCTTGAAGTGCGGCTTCGGTCGCGTGTTGAATGGTGGCCTTGAGGTGAGAGGATACCTTGGATGCCCACTCTTGAGCGTGTCTCGCAGTGTATGGATTGGGTTATTCTTACTGAAAACCTTGCGAGGGGTGAGCGGATTTGGTGGTATTGCTATTGTATTTGGTGGTAACGATGTAGTACTTGGTGGTAATGCTGTAGTGTTTGGTAGTGCGCTCGCGGGATTGAATGATGGTGTAGGTTTTATTGGTGCTGTGTTACGTATACTACTCGATGCACCTGTTGCAGCAACTGATTCTGGTGGCTGGATGGAATGTAATTGTGTGCTCTCAACCACCGTAGACTGAGATGCTTGTGTTTGCGTGCCTGCTGGTGAACTAGTTGATGACTTGCACACGTGTATACGTGCCGCTAAACGCCCTTGTGTGTGTGTGTTTATGGGCGTATTTACATATGCATGCGCCAATCCGTGTGGTTTAGCAGCCGTGTGTATGTATGATATTTGCGATACACCTCGCCGCGGATTATACCTCAGAGACTGAAGCTGCGCGCTAATATGGGACAACAGCACTACACAAGGATGTGACTGACGATGAAACATTCTACACTAAGGATAAGAGAAACATTCGAGTACTCGGCAGAAAGACACCTCGAATACTAAAATAGTATTTTAGAAGCAAGACGCGAATGCGACCATATATAGCTCAGTTGCAGTTTGGTCTAAAGCTGCGTATTTATCCGTGAATTGTCCACCTAAATCACAGATGCCTTTATAATGTACGCCTCTTGTATGTAGAGCGCATCGGAATTTAACCTATACGAACCAAACGTACAAAATAACTATCTCAATCTCTATATCCCATTAAAAAGCATGTAGCGGTTAAGTATACCATAGAGAATACATAGGTACGTGGTCCAAGTCACGCTACAATACATTCACGCTAATAAAAACTGTCTTGTGCTACCCTTGGGTTTCCAAATCTTGGGTTGTCAAAAATAGTTGTCATGCGTCCAAAATTTGAATGATAATGGTACCGAACTTTTCATCGATAAACCCAAGAGACTCAAGAACGAAAGTGTCCCCACTCGGACAAATAAATAAATAATATTTAAGCTTTTGTTTTGTATTGGGGGGTTTTTTTTAGATTTTGTTTGTTTTTTTAAAAAAAGAAAACAATCACTAAAAAAATATAATTGAACATGTACTGGTCGTTCTTGTATTTACTTGTCGTTGCTCGTTAGACACTGCGTGTGTATGTTGAAGTGTTTGCCCCGCCTGTCATAGATTCAAGACAGACGGCGCTCGCCGAACAGTACGTTCAGGACTGTGGTAGTCCACCTGTTATTTTGTGTATTTTTATTGGTATACTTATTCTATATACTAGTGAAGGCTTGGGCAGAAAGTGGGAATTCAAGACTATCTGAATGGAACTGATGGTCAATATTGAAGTTACTTGTAGTTTGTAACGTAAT